TGAATTCACCAGTTGCTCTGTGGGAGAAAAAGAGGTAAGCTCCCATGTGATTTACTGCCTCTGAAAAATCCACTGGAGGGCTGGCTAGAAGTCGGTTTTCAACAACAGTGACTTTTACTTTGTTACCTCCAAAGGTCCTGAATTTACCCAGAGGTCTCATCCCAACTACCTCACCTTGAATAGCACAAAGGACCTCCAGCTATCAGAGTCATGAGAACCCAGTACTCTACATTCTTGGTTTTGGCAAAAGCTCTTAAGAGAGCTCTTGGTTTCCATGCTTGCTTCCTCCTATCTTTGTTATGAAGAGCTTATTTTTTGTTAAGATCATCAACGTGGGTAAAAGGATATTTATTGCATGATGGGGTTATTGTTAAAGGATACTTTCTCATTTATCTGCTATGTCAGTAAGAGCTCCAAAATTTTTTATCACGTGCCCAAAGTATCAAAAGGTGGCATTTCTATTCAATTTTTTATGAATATAAACATAAGGTATTAGAATGTAAATATATAAATAGTATTGCTTAAATTTTACTGTGCTTCTCAAACTAGGTTAAGAGATCTTGCCAGCATATCAGTGCATGTTGGGATAAATGGCAGACTGCCTACAGTGTGTGGGTTAAAGCAGTGCATCTTCCTGAAACATCACTCTTATTATTCATTTTAAGTACTTTGACATCTTAAAAATATGTGGTAAAAACTTTATGTGATAAAATACATACAACAAAGCTGGCAATCATTCTCAAATGTATAACTCAAAGACATAGACTGTATTCGATGAGTTACTAACAGTACCATTCATTCTCCAAAGAAACATTTATTTTAAAACAGCTTACATGAAGCTTTAACAGAAAATTCTTAACCAACTTACCTTAGGAAGACTTCTTTGGACTCTATCTCTACTCTCAGAACTAACAAGGTTACATAATACCCTAACTTTCTTTGGAGAGGTGGGAAAATCTGAGAGTCCAACATAGGGCATCAAAAATATGGAATCTCAAAATGTCAAATAACTTTTCAATAGCAACATATTTTCTAAAAACAGTTACATATTACATTTTCAAAGTCTAAAACTGCTAAGGGAGCTCTGGTAGTCTACTGGCAAGAAACTGCACTGCAATCTCAAAGGCACAAGGTTTGAATCCACCAGCTGCTCTGTGGTACAAAGATGGGCAATCTCCTCCTGTGCGATTAACTGCCCCTGAAAACCCACCTTAGGTCAGATATGGGTCAGTTCTAACTCAATGGTATACAACAACAACCATGATTGCTCATCAGGCCATGAGAAATTTCTCTTTTAAATACTTTACTTAAAAGGTAATAAAGGAATATTTATGCCTTAAAAATAAAGATGTAAATAACTGTTCACAATGATAAGGAAATAAATACTTGTAAGTAAAACAATCCACATATTCAAGGATCACTATGAGACGGTTCAGAAATTTCAGCAATGAACTATTGTTATGTAATTTATGTATGTTATAAAATACTTTTGATGAGAAGAACTAGTAGGCAAAGACGACTTACTTTGTATTTTTTTGTTATTTAATTATATTTTTAATCATGAATATGTATTCATGCTTAAAAGAGAAAAAATAAAGCGGAAAAAAGTGGAATAAACCAAAAGAAAAAATAATCAACAGCAATATATGAGGATTTTAATTATAAATTTTAATAAACTTTTTGTACTTTAATTCTCACTACAAAGACAATATAGGAAATTAGTTCTTCTAGTACAATGCAACTAAAATAAGTTAAATATACTTATCCACATCTCCCTATTGCCAAAAACACTTTCATGATAATTCAAGTATAAAGAACGTTACTTAGTTTTTTTTTCTCTTCGGAGGGGGAAGCGAGCTGGTGGGGAGGGATGGGCAGGGAGAAAAGTGCGGCAATGAATGAATGGAAATCCAAAACCTCTGTAAATGTCTATTAAAATTA